CTTTAAATTTCTCAGCCTTTTTGCGTGCAAAAATCCAGCATTATTATGCATTTTTATATTTTGAGTTCTTAATCATTTGCTGGAGGGAGGTCTTTGTGATTAAAGGAAGCAGGTTTCATTGAGCCAGACTGAGCTCTGGTCTGTCCTCTTTTTCACCTCCCCTTAGGGCAAAGACCAACAGCTTGAGGGTGACCCCTTCAAGAAGTTTTTACCGAAAAGGAAGATGAGAAAGGCTGGACAGGCTCTTTCTAATGCTCTGCACTGGAGCCAGGAAAAGGCAGCTGTTTCTAGCCTTTCTGATGTTTGGGTTGTTTGTTTTTTTGGTTTTTTTCGTTGTTGTTTTTGGGGTTTTTTTTCCCTTTCCTGGTGGCTGGGATCTGGGCTTGCTGCCATATCTGTTTGTCTGTCTGTCTCATGTTGTTTTTCTCAGAGAGCTTCAGAGGCCAGTTGCCCACAGTCAGTTGCTGGGAACAGAGGTTGTTCCTTGTATCGTCTTAACTCTCCATGCCAGAATGTTCATGCTTGAATAGGAAACAGCGAGATCTATCAAAATAGCCCTTTTCTTAAGGGCTTTGAGGCTGCATTCTCCATGGCCATCTGTTCCCTTTCACCCTTTTGGACAATGTTGCTATTTGAAACGAACCACTCTTTGCTCTCTTCTTTTCCCTTTGCCCTCCCCCTGCCCCCCCAAATCTGGGGGAAAAAAATTGTTTCTGGCTCTGACTGGCCTCTGGAGGATTCAACCATTTTTTAGTCCAAGGATTAAAAGTGATATTTTGCAAATTTTTTTTTATTTTTCACTGACTTTAAAAAATGTAATACATCTCGGGAGAAAAGAGTCTCTGCAGTCAAAAGATCATTTTGGATTTATGCGTTAGTCTCCACGGATCACTTCGGTGTCTTGTCACTGTCTGATGCAGACTGCCATGAAAATTTGGCACATCTTGGAATATTTTGCATTATAGCAGGAGCGGAAGGAACCTCCTATAGTTAAGGGTGTATAACTGTTTCCCTTCTAACCCTCTGTCATCAGTCAGAAAAGCTTATCGGGATGAAATTTTCCAGTCTTGGTTGTTGTCCAAAATTGAATTTATTTGCTTAATTCAGATAAAGCAAGTCATTCCTTTTTGAGAATGAGTTGAAGAAAAAAAAGTATATACCTCCTCTGCTTCAGGATGGGCGACTGTGCCATAAAGAGAGGGGAAAGAGCTGGGAAACTCCTGGAAAGTCTGCGTCAGTTAGAGAGTGAAGCCAGACCCCTGTAATCGTCAGTCATTTTAACATCCTGCATATTTTATACTGCCTCTCTGTCTGTGTGCCTAAGTACATAAATATATATGTATTTTCAGCTTTGGAGATGAGTCAGTTCTGAACAGTGAGCCCTGTGGTGCCTCCATGTACTAAAATGTTTTTTCATGCATTTTATTGTGAGAGGGAACACATTTTCTATATGTGGGTATACTGGCTGTGCAATTTAAAAAAATGAAAATGCCCAATTAATTTACATTCAGAAGCTACTCTAAGCTGTGTTTTGAAGGTGCTCTGAGTACTCAGATGCATCTGCTAGGTGTATAGGTACGGTTTGATGGGCCAGCCTGAAAGTTACTTTGTCAGAGAAGAGGTTGCATCCTTCATCTTGTGTCATGGACCACTCTGGGCTGAGAAATAGATACAACCTATATTGGCAAGTGCAGACTTGTGGTTAAATACCAGTTAAGAAAGGCCACAGTCAACCGTGATGATACCCATTGTGAGAAATAATTGAATCTGTTGTTGGGTTTGAAAGGCAGAGTTGAAAATGCACATAGCGGTTTTTTACATTTAATGTTTCCTAACTTTTATGTTCTTAGTTATGCAACCAAAACATTCTTCCAGCTCAGCTTTGTGATTGATAGTATTAAGCATTTGGCCAAATCTGAACTCCAGATGTGAACAGCTGTAATTTACAAACAGTCATCTCTAACCCCCAAATGTTTGGCTGACCTCTGTTTCCGTGTTGTAGGCTGAAGGAGGATTGCTTCCTTCTGGAATTTCAGTTTTGATAACTCTGGCTCGTGATCCAAGCTTTACAGCTCTAAGATTATTGTTTTTATTTACACCTAGAGGGAATTCTTGCAACTGTAATGTATGGGACCAGTGTTAAGAATGCCAAAGGCTAAATTTTCCAAGAAATTATGGTTTTCATCATGCAAAGTAAAGCAGTTTGTTCAGTTTGAATTGCACTCTCAACCTGAAGTACTATTTAACACTGCTTTTTAAACATACTCCTTGTGGTTATCAATCCCACTGTGGAGTTTTAATTATTGCATGTTTCAACCCTCTGTATAAAGAAGTTGTCACTAAATTTGAAAATTATTTTGAAAGATAATACTAAATTAAAAGATACTGCTAAAATACTCTTGTGCTCAGGAGTAAAAAGGACATATAACTTTACTCACAAGTTCAAAGCGAGTTACTAGGCTGTGATCAGAAATTGTTATTCATTTAGACTTATACTGAGTATATGGAGAAAATCCACTCCAGTGTAGGCTGTCAGCACTAGTGTTAATTGAGCAAACTCAGGTGCTGGCAGTGACCTGACTTAGCAGTACAATGCTCCCTGTGGCTTCTTAGCAGAATATATTTACCAGGGAAGAGGTCAGTGCTATTGAAAACTAGCTTGCATACACCTACTGTCCTTTTCTGTCTGCCATGTGAGCACACACCATCAGCCCCTTCCCTGGGAGATGGGCCTCTGTGTCAGAAACACCCTGGGTAAGTCAGTGCTAACTGGTGCTTGTTTTGGCCACTTTGCTGGTTGTGCAACAGAAACTGGACTCTCTTTCCCTGCTACCCCATGGCCCTTCAGCACCATGACTTTAAGGTTCACTTGCAGACTGGCATGCTGCTGCTTTTGCCTGCACTGTGGCAGTTTTGTGGGTATGAGAGCTAAGTTGCCATTACACTGTTTCTTTACCAAGACATATTTAATGGAAAAAAAATGTAGGCTATGGGAGTAATCTGCCTCTCAGACCGCAGCATCCTAACATGGCCATAATGCTGTGAACTGCATTCTGAAACTCGCTGCAGTTTCAGAGCTGTATCTCACTCTCCTCCCCAAGCAGTATTGGATTTTGTCCTGCCTTTCTGGGAGTCAGCCATTTAGGCTTCCAGGCTTCAGGCTGTTTTGTTGGAAGGCTGAGTGTAACAGCGGGCTTATTCATTTCTAGTCTGGAAAGTTAGGAAGTGGCAAATCCAGATGATGGGTAAACACTAGCAGAGAGTGATGAAGTTTAGCAGCTGAGATGAACGATCCTGGGAAAATCAGATATGATAATGCCATGGCTGTGTAGGTCAGAGGGCTGAGGCTTGCAGCATGCAAGGCTTCAGTTGCTCTGACAGTGGAATTCCAAATCCCATTTCTTGATTCAAGCCTTAAGAGACCTACATACATGTAATTCTAGTATTCTGCCCCCTCCCTCCTACATACCTTCTGATTAATATCATGATCTGCTTAATTCCCTGAGGGAACTTAAGCAAAACAATTACAGCAGTAACTTGTAGCATGATTGGTGAGGTGATAATTAAAAGCATTTTCTGGATCACAGGGCCCTAGCATTGCCAGATGCCATGATTGGGCAAGCTTTGTTTTTCAACCTATACATCCTTTATATGTACAGGCAGACAAAATGCCAGATCTGGGTTGCTTGGGGTTTTTTTTCCCCTCCCTTATCTCAATGGTTTGTGATTTTACTGTCTAGTCTTGGAGAGACAGGAAGAAATGACTGCATAGGAGAGGTTCAAAATAAGAAGCTACTTTAAGTTTTAATTACAATCAGTGTGGGAAAGAACTCTGGATACTGAGAGAGTCGTGTAAATTAGTATAATTTTAGATTTTAGAAAAGGAAGGAATTTCACAAAGACCGCTGTTAGGGCAAGGAGGTTTAACTGAGGGTAAAAAATTTATCCTTGGTTACAGAAAGGAATTGACTTAACTGCTTTCTTCTACTTGTTCTTCACCATCCCTCCCACCAAATCACTACTTGTTCTGTGATTTGCAGCAGCACTGCAGCAATGATAGAAAGCTGGAAACTCACCACTTTGTGATGTGGTGTCAGGCAACAGAGGCAGAACATTTTCACCAGTAAAAAGAAATATCTGTTCCTGAGGCTCTCAACTCCACAATTCCCTAATTTGGGCCCTGTTTCAGGTGCTATAAACCACCAGCTGTCTTTCCACCTCCACAGATCTGCTGAGACCTGATTGTTTTGGTCATGGCTGGTAGATTGACTGGCAAGAAATTAGACCAGCTGGATTTTTTCATTTCTTAATGTCAATTCCTTTTTTAGGTCATCAGGTAGGAGTCTCAGTACTAGCATACATGTGTCTCTCTTTCTCAACTCAGAAAAGAATTGACATGAGCTCAGCAATGAGTTCAGTGAGCGAATGAGATCTTCTGGTGTAAACCATACTGGTAACAGTAGGCATGCTGGTGTGGGATTAAAAGTAAGACAGCATCTCTCCAGTTCTCTGGTGGACCCTTCCTAAAGTTTGAGCTGTATAAAGGTCCCTGCTGATTTTTTGGGGGTAGAATAAAGGTTAAGATTACTTATTTGGAAAAGCTCCTAATGTTTCATGAAGAATACTCAAAGTCCTTATTTATGCACAATTTTTTCTGGCCTATCACTTATTTTGGTGTATTTTCCCTCATCCCTTAGGGAAGATTCTTTGTAAGTGGGGAATAATCAGCAGCAGCTAAGAGACTTATAATGTGCAATTCTCATGAAAAGAAGATCTTTAGGTCAGAAATTATCTTTTTGTTCTCTATTTGTCTAGTTTTTTGCATCTTGAAGATGAGAGCTCTAGGAGTTGTTGCAATGGAAATAATGAATGACTGGAAAAAAAAAAAACGGCAAAAAGGACCTCAATCTTGATCTAATATCAGATTAACCATGTAAAAATCACCCAGAGTGTGTACACATAAAGACATAAATATAGTAAACAAAAAAGTGAAAACTCACCTGGTTGAGACATATGAGATAAACTCTGTTGTCCGAAATGAGAAGTGAGCTCATTCCCTTTCTCTTGCATTCACTGCTGACTCCATCAGAAGTTTGCACCTGGAGTTTTTGGTCTCGTGATGACGATGGCTGAATCGAACAGCCTGTTTAGTCTCAAGTCAGCACATAACACGTTTGGGTTTTTTTTAAACTGGGGATTAGTAGGGGTTTACACTTAATTGCTTTGTTTGCTAAGTATATTTTGATGGCTGTGCTATGAAAAAAAGGAAAACTAAATTACATGTCATTGATTACTGAACAACTCCAACTTCCAGATAAAATATTTCTACTTAATTGAAATTTGAAGTAATATGGAATAATCTGGGGGATGGGGGGAGGGTGTAGTTTGTAAAGATTTAGAACTAGGAGGTTTTAGAAGTATAACTGCTAGATTCCCTCTCATAATAAAAGGGAGAGCATAAGCATTTTAAAAGTTAGCGTTTTCCCATGGCTAGTCTCGTGGCCAAGCTTTATTTCTTACAGCAGCAACTGTGTTTCCTGCCATATATCCTAAATAATAAAAGATTGTGTGAAGTCAGCAGTGTGCTTTGAGACATACCTTAGCTGAGCAGTGCAGAGAGCGAGACAGTCATCATTGTAGGGTAAGAGAATCAGAATCACCTTTTGACTTAAGAAAAAGCTGTGGAGAAGGGCTGAAAAGGGCAGAAGCCAGCAGTGGGAGTTTGAAGAGCACTGTGGTTAGTTACTTCACAGATGAGTTTGTCCTGTGGGTTGTTTTTTATTGTGTGATGGGTTTTTCCACCATTGCATATTTTTATACTTGTACTTTCTGAATAGGTGATGATGGAAAAATAGATTAGGGGTTGAAGGGGATTTTTTTCTTCTTCTGGTCTCATTGTTACAAATCTGCACCAAAAATAAAGACTAAATGCAGTGCAGGTGAAAAGTAGTGGTCTTTGAGCTCTGCCAGTGAACCGGAAAGCTGCACAGCCTGAGTGAGAGGCAAAGTACTTTCATTCTTATTGCATGGTGTGCTGTTTTTGTTGAGCTCAGTAGCTTAATTCTTTATAAATATTTTCTTTGTACTTTCAGAGAGATTTTTTCCTTCTTTTTGACAGGCCAGGCTTTTATCAAGATAGTTTGATGTTAAGATTTGAAAGACTTTGAGGACTTGTTGCTTCACTGTTTTGTTATTTCACTGTCACTTAGTTCATCAATCCATTTTTAACATTTGATGAGAAAATATTTTCAAATTACGAATTGATAAAGATTGCAAAGGGCCCAGTGTTGGGGATGAACCTGCCAGGCAATGATATATCCATCTGGGAAGAAAAAAAATCAATATATGAGAATGTGGATGAGGTGGAACTAATTGTTCTGTGCTGTTATATCAACAAGGAACATGTTGGGGTTTTTTAAGCAAGACTATAGTCACATTCTGCCTGCACAGATTTATTGCATTAAAAAAGATTGTTTTAAGATGTTTGTTTCATTTGATTCAAGATACTGGTCCAGTTATCCAAATTTTCCTAGGAAAAGAAACTAATGGAACTGAAGTGTCTTTATGACTAAATCATTTTCCAACATGCTTGCAACAACTGAGACTTGGTTACATGGGGATTTAGTCTCTAAAATGTACCTCGTATATGCAGAGGACAAGAAGATCTTTGAGACCAGGTCTGTATTTGCAATGCTCTGGTTGGACATAATAGAATAATCCCAGAAGCACTGTTGAGCTGAATAGATTTAATCCTGCTGTTCACTCCAGTGAAAAATGGAAGGTGAAATAAAACCACTTTCCCCATCCTTCCTATATGTGCCATTTCCCTCAGTGACAGGGAAGTTACTTATAGAAAGTTTGTTTTGATTGCATTGATAGGCAGAAACAAAATGAATCTAGCTCTCATGTATAAGTAGGGCCAAGAGTTGTGGCCCAGTTCTAGTGACAGACAGTTCCTCCCTGGGCATTGGAGCCCAGAGCAAGCCTCTTCTGCTTGGAAGCACCACTTCAGGCCACAGTTGAAGAATCACCCTTTCTTCTTTGTTTTTACCCTGATTGTGGAGAGGCATTTACTTTGCATTTGACTCAGACCACAAGCAGCTTTATTTTCACTTGTGACAGCTGTTCAGTGAGAGTGAAGCAGCCAGTTCCTCTGTGTCTGCAGTCCAGAACAGATACAGTGTCTGCTCGTGTCTCTGCCAGTGCTCTGAAAAGTTCATTTTCACAGCAGACAGTGGAACAGGCATCTCATACAGTCCTTGGCCTGTCTGCTTTGAACATTAGTTTCATGCTTTTTTTTTTTTTTTTTTTTTTTTTTTTTTTTTTTGTGTGTGTGCGAGGAAGAAAGGAGTGTTTACAGGAATTGAAATCACGCATTTTACTAGAGCTGGACCTGATACAGAAAGCAGGGACAGGGGACCTGATTCAGAAAGCAGTTGTTCAGACCTCTTCTTCCAGCCTTCTAACATTCACCTTCACCTCCCCATGCTAGGATCCCATCTCTGTGCTTCTGGACACCCACTCCCTTACTGCATACATATACTGAGATGTCACCTTTCTCTCATATGTATGTCAGCTCTATTTTCTTACTTTCCCTACTCCCTGCACTCCCTGTATCACCTGTGTCCTGAACAGAAACCATGATGCCAGCAGTGACTGGAGGAAAAACTGGCTTTAAGCACACTGGAGGCACTGGAACTGCTGCCCATCAGCTGGCTGCACATTGCAGGTGCTGTGGAAGCATCTACCCCACAGCGTGGGTAAGCACTCCATGCCACTCTGCAGTGCTTCAGGTTGGAGAGTCTGGGGACCTCTTAGCAGAGACCACAGTCTTATAAGCCTGTTTTCTTCCTGGACCAATGTTGGTGTGATACTCCCATCTCTAAGCATGAGAACATCAGGGTTTGGAAGCACAAGGCAATGCATGCTGGAAAAAAAATCACGCTGAACAGTGTTTTTTATTCATTTCCTTTGTCCAGTTCATTAATGTCTAAGTAGTGGTTGAAATAACAGAAAAGATAAGTCCAAGGTTTTTTTAAGGCCATGTTTCAACATAAATCTGTTTTCTTAACATATCCTCTTTCCTTCCTCTGAGACATTTACTATCTTTTTGTGTTTAGAGCAAGAAGAAGGAATGCAGCACATGTTGTCACTGCCCTTGAACTTCTTTGCAAAGCTGGCACAGCTTCCTCCTGTTTGCTTCACTTCTTGTTGAACCTCTGTATCTGCCTAATGCATCAGTTTGCAGGAGGATCCCTTATAAAATGGGAACCTTTCCAGTGAGGCATTCCCTTTCACCTTGCAAAATGTCTTTGCTGTAAATTTGCTCTAGGTTTACCAACTGCTTTGCACCAAAGCCATAAATTTTAATAACTTCACAGAAGAGGATTTGCCCTCTTCAGATAGGGGCTGACACAGTATGGTACAGTGTGCTTTCTTATGTATAAGAAAATAAAATAAATTACAGCAATTAGCTTGTCCTGCCACAAACCTTACACATTTCTGTTCACTTTGGGATAGGTTTTAGGTCTGAAGGAATGGAGAATTAGGAATTGCTGAGCAATAGCACAATAGCACAATAGCAGCAGGTTCCAGACATTTAACCACTTAAATGCCTGGCTCAGGATTGTAAAAGCAATATGTTACTTCTTCTGTTATGTAATAGCAGATACATGATTTGAGGGAAGTCTGGCTGTGAATTTTGTGGCTGTTTTATGCCAACATTAGCTACTTCTGGAACATCTGGGCCCTTTGTAGTGAGGAGCACACAAGCAGGGGTACGTGAATTGCTTCTTGGTGGAGTGGAATGGTGGCTCCCAGCTCTAAACAGGGGTACAGTTACATCAGGAACATCTCCTTAATTCTTGGCATTTATTGTTGATATCAGAGGGTGAGATGGAGAACTCACACTACAGTTGTATAAAAACGTCACAAAGGTAGGAAATTAATGCAACAGTGCACTCTTAAGTGCTATTTGTAATTACCTATCTTAGGGAATAATCTGAGATGTCTGATGAAGTTTCAATGCTGAACTCCTTTCTGTGCCACAGTCCTGATGCAGTTTTTATCATATTTATCTTCAGGGTCTTCTGTGAGTGAGAAGAGGGATTCTAGTTATGTAACAGCAGCCCTTGGCAACACATGGAGTCACAGCGTCAACACCAGGCTCATACTACAATACCATGACTTGCCAACAAGACAGGTGAGAACTTAACAGCAAAGAGAATTCAAATAAAGCTACACCAGCAGTGCTTGGTCAGATGGGCTGTGTCCTTCATCCTCTCTGGTTATGCTACATGTGTTGACAACTTGGCAGTCGAGAGCCCAATCACTTATTTGGGGTGGGGATCAGTCAGTGTCCTTTGTTTTTAAGGGATGACAAGCACTCCAGTGCCTCCGTGTGTTAGGATGGACCTTTCTGAGTCACAGTTGATACAGATGTACAAGTTTCTTGAGCCTTTAGTGCATTCTACACTGCGGAGATGAAAGGTAGTCCTTAAAGTGCTTTCTTGTACAGGAATTTTAGGAGAGGAGAAACCTGGTCTTTTCACTGCCATGATTGTTTTGCTGTCTTGCTGTCCCCTCTTTGTGCCAAATTTCAGCTATGACAGTTAGGACAGGGAGCACACTGTTTTCTGTGACTGCTGTTTGTGAGTAGAAGGTTGCTGCCTGCACCAGCAAGCTTAACTTTGAGCAGTAAGTATGGTACCAATTTCCCAGAAGTATGCCTGCAAGCAGGAGAATAGTCACCCTTTTCACTGAGAGACTTTATGCTTTTAAGTGAAACATAGGAGCATTTTTTACTGCAATCTTAACTTAAAAATTGCACCTCTTAATTTAAAAAACTGAAAACTGGGAGACAAGACATTTGGGGTATGATTGAGGGGATTACTTGTTTTGGTTTTTAAAACATAATGCATGATTTCATCTGTCCCTTGGGATATCTGTGGTTATAATCTTTTTTGGCTTTGTCTGTTCTGTTTTTGCATTGATGTAACTCTTTCCAAAGGCTGTGACCCTCAGTCTTAATGTTATTGATTTCCTGCCAGTTAAAGTAGAGCGCTGTCAGAAAAATTGCTATATGATATTTGTGCTATCTTACTCCTATACCATTACTACCCATGTGTGTTCAGATTGGTGCTCCTGGGTTTGCTGTCACAACACAAGTTTTCTCACTTTTAAATTGCAGTCTTTAGAGCCAGAGGAGAGGAAGCCATCCAGTTTTATTAGAAAATTACTTATTAGAAGTAAAATTATAATGATAGCACTCCTGTTTCTTCAAGTAGTGGGCACTTCGACTACTTTGGAGCAGTAGTTCCCTGGACTTTGAGGTAGAAAGTTTAGTGTGTCAAATGTAGATAGAAAAGGCATCTTCTATACTCACTTCTAATGGCTATGCATAGAAATATATTCTTACTGATGCTGGTCATAGAAATTTTCTTATGTACTGCTTCTTATTCTGGTCTGTAATGAGTTCTCCTTTTCTACAGAAATACTAAGTTCTGAAAAATACAAAGCTGTTCATGAATTTCCTGGATCACTTCAGAGTTACATGAGAGTGGAGTTGGCAGAGGGTAAAGGGCAAAAACTGGGCTTTGTGCTACTTCTGATGCACAAAGTCAGCTAAAACAGATTAAGAACATTCCTCTGGTAGTGGAAAAAGGGAGACAGCTTTCCTAAAGAACATTCAGATATTTCATGTTGTTTTTCCTGATTTCTTTTTGAGAAGGAATAGATCATAAATGTATGAAAAGTTGTGTTCAAGCCTTTGAAATTTTGGTCTGCTTAGTAGAGTTTTCCTCTCTTCCTAACTGGATTTATGAGGTGAACCACCTTGCTTACAAGAGAAGCTATGTGCTCATTCTGTTCTAATTAAGCAAAGGAACTAAAGCTACAATGAAAAAAAACCAACCCTAAAGTAAATGTTAGTATATATTATTAAAACCAAAGTAATTTTAAACAGAAGTGTGATATAAATAGTGATGTGCCTGTGAAGTCTATGACTGAAATGGGATACGTCCATATTGTCCTGCAGGTATTTTCCTGTTGCTGGTATCTGTGTCTTTTTTCCAGATAAATTCTCGTTTCTTAAACTCAGAAATATTTCAGCTAGACATGCAGTTTCCAGTTAGAGGAGGGCATCTGGAGTTACCCTACCTATCACAGCACTGTACTGATCAAATTACTATCATTTTACACACATATGCTCCTTTATAATTGCTTTAGACCCACTTTCAGAAATGAACTGTGAATAAAGGTGCCTCAGGTCTTGAGATGCCATTTCAGTCATCGTAAAGTGGTTCTGCCAGGAGGTATTAGATATCAATGCTTTGAAAGCCAGCACTTTTTAAGGAAGCTTAAGAGGAAGATTCAAAAATTACCAAGTCAGTAATCACATTTATAAATTCTCATACTACATTAAAAAAAAACCAACAACCAACCAAATAATAATAAGAATAATATTAATTTTTAAAAACAAAAAAATAAACCCAAAAAAACTTTTGATTATCTTGTAGTCTTGGTTTTAAAGTGAAATTTTGCCCCAGGGAATTACTGAAAGCACACAGTTGGTTCAGAGATTTGGGTGAAAAGTAGTTTCAAAACCAAGTTTTTCCTGCTCTTCCACATTTGCAAGCTTACAGAATCAATACTATATAAGGAATGAGCTGTGTTTCCATAGAATCATAGAAACTTCATATAGTTGGTGATCTTTCTAATTTGTGGAGGTCTCTCTGCAGGGCCTCTGAGGGAGCCAGCAGCTCCTCACAATTTAGTGCCATTGTCAAACATACTAAGTGTCCCTTTGAATCCTGCATCCCAGTCGTTAATGAAGATGTTGAAGAACGCCAGCCGAGGATGGAGCCCTGCAGAACCCCTCTAGTGACAGATCCCCACTGTGATGTCACTCCATTCTCTACAGCTCTGTGTGCCTGACCTGTGAGCCAGTTGCTCACCCAGCACATGATGTGTTTATCCATCTGTGGCCTGGACAATTTGTCCAAAAGGATACTGAAAGCTTCGCAGAAGTCTAAGAGGATTACATCTTCTGGCTTTCCTAGATCTTTGAGGTGGGCTACCCTGTTATAGAAGGATATCAGGTTCAACAAGCAGGACTTTCCCCTTAGGGAGCCATGCTGGCTGTGATCAACAGCTGCATTGTTGTCTTCCAAGTATTTTTCAGTACTTCCCAGAATAATATTTTCCATGATTTTACCAGGCACCGAATTGAGACTGCCAGGCCTGTAGTTTCTGAGGTCCTCCTTCTTGGCTTTCTTGAAAATCAGGATAATGTTTGCCAGCTTCCTGTCAGGTGGGACCTCTCAGGGTTCCCAACACTGCTGAAAATCATTGAGACAGGCTTTGTAACGACATCAGCCAGCTCCTCAGATGAGTCCCATCAGACCCCATAGATTTGTAGGGATTCAACTGAAGCAGCAGATCCCACACAATTTCAGGGTCAGCTGGGAATTGATCATTCTTACAGTCACGGTCCTCTAGCTCAGGGCTAGAGGCCGCCATGGCCCATCATCTGTGTTGAAGACGGAAGCAAGGAATGCATTTAAACATCTCTGCCTTGTCCACGTCCTTGTTTGTGAGGTTGACAATCCTCATCTTGTAATGGAATGATGTTATTTCTATGCTGCCTTTTTCCATTAATGTATTTGAAAAAAACCTTTTTATTGTCTGCCACAGTTCTGTCCTGCTTTATCTCCAATTGAGCTTTGACCACATAAATTTTCCCCCTACCATGGCCAATAGCATTTCTGTATTCTTCCCATGTCACCTGACCCTGCTTCCACCAGATGTACACGTACGTCCCTTTTCCTTACACAATGGATGCAATTTATTTTTTCAAAAGGTAAAATTCATTCTTTAGTCAGTCACTGGATCTCCAGAATATTCTCTTTCTGGATCCACTTTCTCTCTTTCTTTCCCTGGAGGAGCAGGAGTAGTGGTGACAGTCTGAGAGACTTTCCCTCATTACATCTGACTTCCAAGGTAGTAGAGCCAGTGTGCCAATCCTTGCTGCAGAATGCCACCTATCAAGAGAAAAAGCACTTCTTGAGAAGCACTGGATCAAGGGTGATATCCTTCAAAACACAGAGTGATAGTGTGATTGTTCAGAAGGATTCAAGCAAGCTGTTTTCCAGAGCTATGGTATCTCCTGGACAGCCCACTGGGTTGCTAGATGTTTGTTCTTAGTCATGCAGTATTTGTTACTGGGAAAACTCACACAGTCCCTGTTCCTGAAACCTTGGGGAATGCCAGGGCAGCAGGTGGCAGAGCAAGTATGTAACAAACCTTAGGAAACTGAACATAGAATTCCTACATGGTTGGGATTTTTTTATATATTAAGTAAAAAAAATTATTTTGTTTATCCAGTAGATATTTTCCAGCCAACCATCCCTTTTTCCACCCCACCCTTCCTATGTCTGGTGAACATTAATAAGACAGCAGCCAGTTCAGAAAAGTAATGAAATTTCTGGGATGTCCTGCCTGCCTGAAAATCAGTTAGGTTTGCTTTATTGCTAGGAGAGGAACAGCTTTTGAACAAACAGATGAACTTTGCTCTTTTGCTTCCTTCTAGAAGCCAGGGTTGTGGTTTTTGTTTCCTCCAGGACAGAAGCGGCACGACTGGGGGAGGGACCAAAACAGATTTCCAGTCTGCATTTAAATTCATTATGTCACCAAAACCCACAAGTATGGACAACAGCAGGAGTCTTTTAACTACTGAGGTGGGACTGAGCTGTACAGTTTCAACAGCAGCACAGTGGCATAAGAACATGTGAAAACATGGGAAAAGTTAATTGTTTCACACAAATACCTTCATGAAGGGAATTATCTTTATGGACACTGATACTTCGTTCTCCCTAAGTGCTCTTCTAAGTAGTTAACCATGACATATATTTTCCTGAAATGCATACATAAACATGCAGAGTCTTTGAGTTTGGGCCAAAACCAACGGGGCTGCACTAGAAATTATCAGACTCCTCAGTTACCCCATGCATAAAATTATCCTTCTTTCCTGAACTGGAGAAGCAGGCTTTAAGGTTACTGTTTCTCATGTGTTCTCAGCTGTCTTTGGTAGGGTTAAATACATTGCCATGCTATAGTTAACATTTTGTTCTTGTCCATTGGAGGTAGGATGTTAGATTAAATGAGACAGTGCCCAGATCTGGTATGGCAACTTCTATGGGCCTG